TTAATGGGTACCCGGTAGGGTGAGATGGTTATATGACTGTTCACCCAGCAGTGAATGGGTACCTGGAAGGATGAGATGGTTATATGACTTCACCCAGCAGTTAATGGGTACCCGGAAGGATGAGATGGTTATATGACTTCACCCAGCAGTGAATGGGTACCTGGGAGGGTGAGATGGTTATATGACTGTTCACCCAGCAGTGAATGGGTACCTGGTAGGGTGAGATTGTTATATGACTGTTCACCCAGCAGTGAATGGGTACCTGGTAGGGTGAGATGGTTATATGACTTCACCCAGCAGTGAATGGGTACCTGGGAGGGTGAGATGGTTATATGACTGTTCACCCAGCAGTGAATGGGTACCTGGTAGGATGAGATGGTTATATGACTGTTCACCCAGCAGTTAATGGGTACCTGGTAGGGTGAGATGGTTATATGACTGTTCACCCAGCAGTGAATGGGTACCTGGTAGGGTGAGATGGTTATATGCCTGTTAAGCTTTTAGCACCTCATAAGGCAGCTTGGGTTTTATACTCCCTAGGGAGCAGAGAATGAAATGCAGGTCACTCTTGTGAATCCCAGAATTATGCAGGTCACTTTGTGCATCCATGATCAGGAAGACGAGCAGGAAAGAGTGATTTGACGGTAGTCATGTCTATTTCCAAAATGTATTACTTTTAGCTTATGACCAATTTTCATATTAGTGTCTTAAAACTAACTAAACATACTATCACCCCCCCCCACACACACACACACACACACACCCCACACACACACCCCACCCCACTCCTCCCACCCATTATTTGTTGACCAAAGTTTTGAAAATATTTTTTCCTAATCATCAGGTATAAATGTCAGGAAGCAATTTTTGTGTGCAGATGTTTGGATTCTTTTGGAAATGACAGCTGCATTGAGCCGCAGTGACGGAGTTGCTGATATGTGAAAATCAATAACGCCGTGGTAAAAACAGTTTTAGATGACACATTGTCATGAGAGAAACGTGAAAATGCTGTGTAAGACATGTGGGATGCTTGTCACGGCTGTAACTGTAAGACCGTCTTTGATAGGTATTTAGAAGCTGGAAGAACATGAATACATGACACTTTTTTTAGATAGCAACTTTTTTATTGTTTGTCATGATGTTTCAGAGCTACGTCTTGCTCCTTCATCAGGTGAATGCCTCAAGATGCTATCCCCCAAAGCTGTAAGACAGTTTAGCAGTACTCACTCCCTGGCTGATCCAAGCCGTGGGAATTTGTGGATCTCAAATTGTTTATTGGATATTTGCATTTGGCATTTTGTGGTGAGGATTAAACTGAAAGGAATTAAGTAGAAAAAAATGCTCTTGATGTAAGCCATTGGTAATATTAACTACACTATTGGTTGAACTTTGACCCCTGTCTCACCGTCCAAGGTCGCTTATGAGGGCCTACGGATATAGCCTATCTATCATCCAACTTCTTAAATACATAAAAATTAGCCAAATGCCTAGAACACCTGCTGAAATTCTCCTTATACTTAAACTTTACGCAGCTGGATGTAAGTCCAAATGCAAGAGCATCCAACATGCCCTATCATATGACGGCTTTCAACAAGTGTTTATCACAGTATCCACTCTCTGCTTTCAGCACTTTTGGCAAGAAAAACATTTCCTTTGTGAAGATGACAAAAGCCCTGCTATAAACTACCTACGCCTGTCAAAGATCAATGGCCTGATCACTGCCATAGGTTTTTATTATCCCCCAACTCTCCAGAGGTCACGACCCCGTGGTATCACAGAGAGTGACCCAGTTCATGCCATGTTATGAAGTCCAGTGGTGACCGCCCCAGGCTGGTAATGGGCAGTCAGAAAGGCAAAACATGATTCACCAAGTAGCTGCCCACTAGCTTCAGGGCATTCTCACCTGTCACCCACAGCCGCACACCAGAAGGGGGGGGGGGGGGGGGGGGGTAAGGGGGAGGGAGGTTCTCAGCGAAGGCTTACAGGCAGTGTTGTGCTCTTGTGTTGTGTGGGGCGTTGGGTTCCATTCCCCATATGGGTACAATATATGAAGTCCATTTCTGGTGTCCCGAGCCGTGATATTGCTGGAATATTTCTTAAAGCGCGTAAAACCTCACTCACTCACTCACTCACTCACTCACTCACTCACTCACTCACTCACTCACTCACTCACTCACTCACTCACTCACTCACTCACTCACTCACCCACTTACTCACTCACTCACTCACTCTTGTGTTGTGGTGAGAGTATAACTTTATATCACATGTAGTGTTGTGTAGAGAGTGATGCTTTATATCACATGCAGTGTTGTGGTGTAGAGAGTACCGCTTTATATCACATGTAGTGTTGTGGTGTGAAGAGTATCACTATAGTATATATCACATGCAGTGTTGTGGTGTAGAGAGTATCACCTCATATCACATGCAGTGTTGTGGTGTAGAGAGTATCACTTCATATCACATGTGTTGTGTAGAGAGTATCACATGTAGTATTGTGGTGCGAAGAGTATCCCTTTATATCATATGCAGTGTTGTAGTGTAGAGAGTATCACTATATATCACATGCAGTGTTTTGTAGAGAATATCACTTTATATCACATGCAGTGATGTGTAGAGAGTATCACTTTATATCACATGCAGTGTTGTGTAGAGAGTATCACTTTATATCACATGTAGTGTTGTGGTGTAGAGAGTATCACTTTATATCACATGCAGTGTTGTGTAGAGAGTATCACTTTATATCACATGCAGTGTTGTGTAGAGAGTATCACTTTATATCACATGCAGTGTTGTGTAGAGAGTATCACTTTATATCACATGCAGTGTTGTGTAGAGAGTATCACTTTATATCACATGCAGTGTGGTGTAGAGAGTATCACTTTATATCACATGCAGTGTTGTGGTGGGAAGAGTATCACTTTATATCACATGCAGTGTTGTGTAGAGAGTATCACTTTATATCACATGTAGTGTTGTGGTGTAGAGAGTATCACTTTATATCACATGCAGTGTTGTGTAGAGAGTATCACTTTATATCACATGCAGTGTTGTGTAGAGAGTATCACTTTATATCACATGCAGTGTTGTGTAGAGAGTATCACTTTATATCACTTTCATTGTTGTGGTGGGAAGAGTATCACTTTATGTCACATACAGTGTTGTTGTGTAGAGAGTATCACTTTATATCACATGCAGTGTTGTGTAGAGAGTATCACTTTATATCACATGCAGTGTTGTGTAGAGAGTATCACTTTATGTCACATACAGTGTTGTTGTGTAGAGAGTATCACTTCATATCACATGTAGTGTTGTGTAGAGAGTATCACTTTATATCACATGCAGTGTTGTGTAGAGAGTATCACTATATATCACATGTAGTGTAGTGTAGAGAGTATCACTTCATATCACATGTAGTGTAGTGTAGAGAGTATCACTTTATATCACATGTAGTGTAGTGTAGAGAGTATCACTTCATATCACATGTAGTGTAGTGTAGAGAGTATCACTATATATCACATGCAGTGTTGTGTAGAGAGTATCACTATATATCACATGCAGTGTTGTGTAGAGAGTATCACTTTATATCACATGTAGTGTTGTGTAGAGAGTATCACTTTATATCACATGTAGTGTTGTGTAGAGAGTATCACTTTATATCACATGTAGTGTTGTGTAGAGAGTATCACTTTATATCACATGTAGTGTTGTGTAGAGAGTATCACTTTATATCACATGTAGTGTTGTGTAGAGAGTATCACTTTATATCACATGTAGTGTTGTGTAGAGAGTATCACTTTATATCACATGCAGTGTTGTGGTGTAGAGAGTATCACTATATATCACATGCAGTGTTGTGGTGTAGAGAGTATCACTATATATCACATGCAGTGTTGTTGTGTAGAGAGTATCACTTTATATCACATGCAGTGTTGTGGTGTAGAGAGTATCACTATATATCACATGCAGTGTTGTAGTGTAGAGAGTATCACTATATATCACATGCAGTGTTGTGGTGTAGAGAGTATCACTATATATCACATACAGTGTTGTTGTGTAGAGAGTATCGCTTTATATCACATGTAGTGTTGTGTAGAGAGTATCACTTTATATCACATGTAGTGTTGTTGTGTAGAGAGTATCACTTTATATCACATGCAGTGTTGTGGTGTAGAGAGTATCACTATATATCACATGCAGTGTTGTGGTGTAGAGAGTATCACTATATATCACATGCAGTGTTGTGGTGTAGAGAGTATCACTATATATCACATACAGTGTTGTTGTGTAGAGAGTATCACTATATATCACATGCAGTGTTGTGGTGTAGAGAGTATCACTATATATCACATGCAGTGTTGTGGTGTAGAAAGTATCACTATATATCACATACAGTGTTGTTGTGTAGAGAGTATCGCTTTATATCACATGTAGTGTTGTGTAGAGAGTATCACTTTATATCACATGTAGTGTTGTGTAGAGAGTATCACTTTATATCACATGTAGTGTTGTGTAGAGAGTATCACTTTATATCACATGCAGTGTTGTGGTGTAGAGAGTATCACTATATATCACATGCAGTGTTGTGGTGTAGAGAGTATCGCTTTATATCACATGTAGTGTTGTGTAGAGAGTATCACTTTATATCACATGTAGTGTTGTGTAGAGAGTATCACTTTATATCACATGTAGTGTTGTGTAGAGAGTATCACTTTATATCACATGCAGTGTTGTGTAGAGAGTATCACTTTATATCACATGTAGTGTTGTGTAGAGAGTATCACTTTATATCACATGCAGTGTTGTGGTGTAGACCAGAACCACTTTCCCCATCACATGATCAGAACCACTTTCCCCATCACATGATCAGAACCACTTTCCCCATCACATGATCAGAACCACTTTCCCCATCACATGACCAGAACCACTTTCCCCATCACATGACCAAGGACCACTTTCCCCCATCACATGGTAATGCATTGTTAAGTAGTCATCACTCCCGCATGTCCATCACACGACCAGGCCAGGGGTCTGACGAGCCTCCTTCATCACCCTCCTACACACTCACCCAGGAGCCCATCTCTTCCTCCCACAGCATTCCCTGCTCCGAGAGCCAGGAGTTGAAGCATGTGTGGTGACCTCATTCTGGCAGCTGACCTCTGACCTGCCCTGATTGGTCAGTGGCGAGAGGAGGGTTGGGTCTGTGGTCTGTATTCAGCAGGCAGGTATTGATCATGGGGAGAGAGGATTTAATTAGGAAATGGCTCGGACAGCCACAAAGCCCTGCTTCATTTCACAGACTGATTGAATGGTCAAAATTTTGTTTACAGATATGGCATCTCTCCTTCCCTTCACAGATGAAATTAGGGCTGAATGACAGTGGCATGTTGGAGGTGGGGCACATTAATTGTCATCTGTCATTAATGATACTTACAAAGATAAGCTGAAGGGGGGGTCGGGGCGGGGAGGGGGGTCGGGGTGGGCGGGGACAGGGAGGTGTTCTGCTGTTGATGGTGTACAAACAAGCCAGATATAAGCAGCAGCCATTGCAGATGGTAGTGAGTGAGTATGAGTTAATGATGCTTTTAGCAAGATTCTAGCAATATCACAGAGACTATCCAGCAATATCACAGAGACTATCCAGCAATATCACAGAGACTATCCAGCAATATCACAGAGACTATCCAGCAATATCACAGAGACCATCCAGCAATATCACAGAGACTATCCAGCAATATCACAGAGACTATCCAGCAATATCACAGACTATCCAGCAATATCACAGAGATTATCCAGCAATATCCAGGCCTCAGGCCAACAGTACAAGGGAGAGTGTGAAAATAACATGAAGCAATTATTACCAACGTTATTTCTTGAATGTTAAGGATAGATTGTGTTGCTGAACAAGCCTTTCATTAAGGACACACTTCAGGGTAATTTGGCGACACAATGCAGGGTAATTTGGCAACACAATGCAGGGTAATTTGCCGACACACTTCAGGGTAATTTGGCGACAGACACGCTTCAGGGTCACTTGGCAACACACTTCAGGGTAATTTGGCGACACACTACAGGGTAATCTGGTGACACACTACAGGGTAACTTGGTGACACATTTCAGGGTAACTTGGCGACACACTACAGGGTAACTTGGCAACACATTGCAGGGTAATATGGCGACACACAACAGGGTAACTTGGTTACACACTACAGGGTAACTTGGCGACACATTTCAGGGTAACTTGGCGACATACTACAGGGTAACTTGGCGACACACTACAGGGTAACTTGGCGACACACTACAGGGTAACTTGGCGACACACTACAGGGTAACTTGGCGACACACTACAGGGTAACTTGGCGACATACTACAGGGTAACTTGGCAACACACTACAGGGTAACTTGGCAACACACTACAGGGTAACTTGGCGACACACTACAGGGAAACTTGGCGACACACTACAGGGTAACTTGGCGACACACTGCAGGGTAACTTGGCGACACACTACAGGGAAACTTGGCGACACACTACAGGGTAACTTGGCGACACACTACAGGGTAACTTGGCGACACACTGCAGGGTAACTTGGCGACACACTACAGGGTAACTTGGCGACACACTGCAGGGTAACTTGGCGACACACTACAGGGAAACTTGGCGACACACTACAGGGTGACTTGGCGACACACTACAGGGTGACTTGGCGACACACTGCAGGGTAACTTGGCGACACACTACAGGGTAACTTGGCGACACACTACAGGGAAACTTGGCGACACACTACAGGGTAACTTGGCAACACACTGCAGGGTAACTTGGCGACACACTACAGGGTAACTTGGCGACACACTGCAGGGTAACTTGGCGACACACTGCAGGGTAACTTGGCGACACACTACAGGGTTATTAGGTGTGAGAATCGTGCTTGTGTTTCACCTCATTTCCAGGTGTCAGGTTTCCAGATGATATTTAGCAAGTGCACAATGCTTGCTCCCTCCCTCCCTCCCTCCCTCCCTCCTTCCCCCACACTCACTCACTCACTCACTCACTCACATGGGAGTGCTGGGACATTGCTTAAAGTGGCGCAAAACATTACTCACTGTATTCAGGTGCTCTTAATCTCATACTCAGGGCTTGAGTTGGCTGTATAAAACATGCTTTTTATTTCTACAACTCCAGTGATAGAAACTAACATTTCGAGTCCACATGTCCTTATAATGGTAGCAAGACCCTTAAACATAGCTGCTTCAAGTGCATGTTAAACAAATTCAAATTTGTGCCTGTCAAACACTAAATACTCTCCCTTATAACAACAATCTTTGAACACACTCAATACTTCTAAACACTGTGTACCACACTGCATCACTAGTCCCACTTGTGTGTGTTATTTGTCATCCTTTCTTGGGCATGACGTCAACAAACTAAGGTTTTTTCAAGATTATGTGCACATCCTATTATGTTTTACAGCATTAGTTTTTTTTTATTTATTTGGTTTTTTTTATTTAGTCATGTACAACAGGATACAGATACAGTGGAATAACAGTACAAATTCATGTATCAAGGTAATTCGCAAAAGGATGTGGTACGGAAGAGGCGCAAGGCATAATCCACAGCATGGTACAGATGAAGGCATATTTATGTATACATTTAAGAAGGTGTGGTATTTATGGTACATCAAATTATGTTGCAAGCATCAAGTGAATAAGTTATTTTACACTTTGAGTAAACAAAGCCTATTTTCTGTTAAAGGCAAAGAAGTAATTATTTCTATGTGCAATATGATATTCAACGTCATAGATACTTCTTATTGTGTTCTTGAAAGCAACAAAGTCAACATTTTCATTCTTAATACACTGGACGAGGATAAATCTTTTAGCAGCTACAATCAAATGGTTAATTAATACATCAGAGGTACCAAAAAGGAGCTCGTTGTCAGTTATATGAATTTTTCTATGCAAAATATGAGTCAAGTAAATACAGAAATCTGACCCAAAATTCTTAACAACATGACATTAAAGATAAACATGAAAAACATTTTCTTTGTGAGTATGACACATAGAACATTCATCGTTATCAATAAGTTTCATTCTTAATAACTCACGTTTAGTAAATATTACTTTATGAATAAATCTAAACTGGAAGTCCCTGAGTTTTGTGTCCCTTAACCCATGGCAATATACACTCAATATTTGTTTCCATGGAAAAGAACATCCTAGCTGATTTTCCCATTTCAAACAAGATTAAGGGAGAGGGAGGGAATTCCCTATCAGTTTATTATAAAAAACTTTTCTTCCTTTAATAGAACGTGTAGTTTTACAGCATTAGTTATTTAAAATCATGACACTGTCATCACAGATCTGACATACAAGTAGTCAGTTTATACACCCATGTTTCATCTTTGATAAATTTGTGGGACAAGAATACAATTGTTTTTGTCTGGTGCAACTAGGTTTTCATGTCAAGGTGCACCTAGTGCAAGTTAAATGAAGTTCCTTAAATCAAACCCTGATACTGGGGCAAATCTACCCCCCACAAACATTCTTGTAAGCAAGTTGTTGGTTAACTTGATCCACGGAGGCGCTGGTGGTAGCCCATTTATGTTTAAGTGACAAGTGTGAGTTGAAGAAGAGGTAAGACGGACCGGAATGTGGTAGATGACGAAGTTGTTGCAGTTACCGTCGGTGAGGCAGTATGACCTGGTCGTGTTGACACAACAGACGCAGTACATTCAACCTGGCGGTGGGATCCCTCAACCGATCTATGGCAATCATCTCCATCGCCAAGGGGGATTGTTTATTTGACAAAACTTCTTAAATATGGCCACTGTTTGAAACATTTCCAAGGATTGATCTGTCTGTATAGACTGCTTGTGGTTTCAGTTTTCAGATTCCCTCGTTAATCATGTAGGAACTCTGCAACACATTTGGTGTGTGGAGCCAAGAGCGCGGTGACAGGGGACAATTGTGTTGGAGTGGAGGTAGTACATGACCCTTGTCGGGAAGCTGACGTTGGAATTAAGCATGATGGATCCTTGTCAAAAGCCTCGTGAAACAACTCGAAGATTAAAGGGATCGAAGGATGGGGGGGGGGAGGGGGGGGGGGGGGGGGGACTTAGTTTTTAACACTGTACAACATTATGCAATGACTCATCATCAAGTGGACGTTGTATCGATACAATGCGATATGTACACACATATTAGATGGGCAGATGCTATGAAGTGAATTTTAAAATGCTATTTTCTGAAGTTATTAGTGAGCAAGTCTCATCTTATCTGGCTGTTTGTGAATTGCCTTGTGTTTAACCTCGCCTTCAGTGTTAAGAACTCAAAGATTTTAAAACCCTTATTGACATTGGCCCTGTATACAAGACTAATGATGTTTTGCATGCATTGTCATGCTGTTTTATATACCTGTAATGCATCTTACTGAGATGCCAGTCTTGTTACAGGGGATGTCAGTCTAGTTACTGGGGATGCCAGTCTAGTTACAGGGGATGCCAGTCTAGTTACAGGGGATGCCAGTCTAGTTACAGGGGATGCCAGTCTAGTTACTGGGGATGCCAATCTTGTTACAGGGGATGCCAGTCTAGTTACAGGGGATGTCAGTCTAGTTACAGGGGATGTCAGTCTAATTACAGGGGATGCCAATCTTGTTACAGGGGATGTCAGTCTAGTTACTGGGGATGCCAGTCTAGTTACAGGGGATGCCAGTCTCATTACACGGGATGCCAATCTAGTTACAGGGAATGTCAGTCTAATTACAGGGGATGCCAATCTTGTTACAGGGGATGCCAGTCTAGTTACAGGGGATGTCAGTCTAGTTACAGGGGATGTCAGTCTAATTACAGGGGATGCCAATCTTGTTACAGGGGATGCCAGTCTAGTTACTGGAGATCCCAGTCTAGTTACAGGGGATGCCAGTCTAGTTACAGGGGATGTCAGTCTAGTTACAGGGGATGCCAATCTAGTTACAGGGGATGCCAGTCTAGTTACAGGGGATGCCAATCTAGTTACAGTGGATGTCAGTCTAATTACAGGGGATGCCAATCTAGTTACAGGGGATGCCAGTCTAGTTACTGGAGATCCCAGTCTAGTTACAGGGGATGCCAGTCTAGTTACAGGGGATGTCAGTCTAGTTACAGGGGATGCCAGTCTTGTTACAGGGGATGCCAATCTAGTTACAGGGGATGTCAGTCTAGTTACTGGGGATGCCAGTCTAGTTACAGGGGATGCCAGTCTTGTTACAGGGGATGCCAATCTAGTTACAGGGGATGTCAGTCTAGTTACTGGAGATCCCAGTCTAGTTACAGGGGATGCCAGTCTAGTTACAGGGGATGTCAGTCTAGTTACAGGGGATGCCAGTCTAGTTACAGGGGATGTCAGTCTAGTTACAGGGGATGCCAGTCTAGTTACAGGGGATGCCAGTCTAGTTACAGGGGATGCCAGTCTTGTTACAGGGGATGCCAGTATTGTTACAGGGGATGCCAGTCTCATTACACGGGATGCCAGTCTTGTTACAGGGGATGCCAGTCTCATTACACGGGATGTCAGTCTAGTTACAGGGGATGCCAGTCTTGTTACAGGGGATGCCAATCTAGTTACACGGGATGTCAGTCTAGTTACTGGGGATGCCAGTCTAGTTACAGGGGATGCCAGTCTTGTTACAAGGGATGCCAATCTAGTTACAGGGGATGTCAGTCTTGTTACAGGGGATGCCAGTCTTGTTACAGGGGATGCCAGTCTCATTACACGGGATGCCAGTCTTGTTACAGGGGATGCCAATCTTGTTACAGGGGATGTCAGTCTAGTTACTGGGGATGCCAGTCTAGTTACTGGGGATGCCAGTCTAGTTACAGGGGATGTCAGTCTAGTTACAGGGGATGCCAGTCTAGTTACTTGATCCTGCTCTGAAATATTTATGGTCCAGAAGTTTTCATGCGTTTTGATGTAAATATGTTTATCATGATACCTATTGTATCGTAACCTTTAAATTGTGATACATATTACATCGTATCGTGACCTTGCTGTGTTGGTTCACCCCAAGCAAACCAGAGAGACTATAGGTTTTGTTTGTTTGTTTGTTTGTTTAACGCTGCACTCAGCAATATTACAGTTTTAATATGGCAAGCTGTAAATAATCAAGTCCGGACCAGACAATCCAGTGAATGATTTCATGCACAAGAACCAAGTGATGAGAGGTAAATGTGTATGACATTTTGTGATAAGCAGCATTAACATTGACAACAACAAGGGTAAGCAAGCCAGATGTACAGGAGGATAACAAATAGCACACAGGTAATGATGTCCAAGGGTAAGCAAGCCAGATGTACAGTAAGGATAACAAATAGCACACAGGTAATGATGTCCAAGGGTAAGCAAGCCAGATGTACAGTAAGGATAACAAATAGCGCACAGGTAATGATGTCCAAGGGTAAGCAAGCCAGATGTACAGTAAGGATAACAAATAGCACACAGGTAATGATGTCCAAGGGTAAGCAAGCCAGATGTACAGTAAGGATAACAAATAGCACACAGGTAATGATGTCCAAGGGTAAGCAAGCCAGATGTACAGTAAGGATAACAAATAGCACACAGGTAATGATGTCCAAGGGTAAGCAAGCCAGATGTACAGTAAGGATAACAAATAGCACACAGGTAATGATGTCCAAGGGTAAGCAAGCCAGATGTACAGTAAGGATAACAAATAGCACACAGGTAATGATGTCCAAGGGTAAGCAAGCCAGATGTACAGTAAGGATAACAAATAGCACACAGGTAATGATGTCCAAGGGTAAGCAAGCCAGATGTACAGTAAGGATAACAAATAGCACACAGGTAATGATGTCCAAGGGTAAGCAAGCCAGATGTACAGTAAGGATAACAAATAGCACACAGGTAATGATAAGGATTAAGGATAAGGATTTAGTATCAAACAGTTGTGACAAGCTAAAATAGCCTATTGCAATAAACCAGAAGTTGTTATCCATAAAGTTGGTTATTTGATACATCAGACAGGACAAGGTTCTCTTGCACAATAGTCCTCAGACAGGACAAGATTCCCTTCCACAATAGTCCTCAGACAGGACAAGGTTCCCTTGCACAATAGTCCTCAGACAGGACAAGGTTCCCTTGCACAATAGTCCTCAGACAGGACAAGGTTCCCCTGCACAATAGTCCTCAGACAGGACGAGGTTCCCTTGCACAATAGTCCTCAGACAGGACGAGGTTCCCTTGCACAATAGTCCTCAGACAAGGTTCCCTTGCACAATAGTCCTCAGACAGGACAAGATCCCCATGCACAATAGTCCTCAGACAGGACAATGTTCCCTTGCACAAAAGTCCTCAGACAGGACAAGGTTCCCCTTCACAATAGTCCTCAGACAGGACAATGTTCCCTTGCACAAAAGTCCTCAGACAGGACAAGGTTCCCCTTCACAATAGTCCTCAGACAGGACAAGGTTCCCCTTCACAATAGTCCTCAGACAGGACAATGTTCCCTTGCACAAAAGTCCTCAGACAGGACAATGTTCCCTTGCACAATAGTCCTCAGTCAGGACAAGGTTCCCTTGCACAATAGTCCTCAGACAGGACAAGGTTCCCTTGCACAGTAGTCCTCAGACAGGACAAGGTTCCCTTGCACAATAGTCCTCAGACAGGACAAGGTTCCCCTACACAGTAGTCCTCAGACAGGACAAGGTTCCCTTGCACAGTAGTCCTCAGACAGGACAAGGTTCCCCTTCACAATAGTCCTCAGACAGGACAAGGTTCCCCTTCACAATAGTCCTCAGACAGGACAATGTTCCCTTGCACAAAAGTCCTCAGACAGGACAATGTTCCCTTGCACAATAGTCCTAAGACAGGACAAGGTTTCCTTGCACAATAGTCCTCAGACAAGACGAGGTTCCCTTGCACAATAGTCCTCAGACAGGACAATGTTCCCTTGCACAAAAGTCCTCAGACAGGACAATGTTCCCTTGCACAATAGTCCTAAGACAGGACAAGGTTTCCTTGCACAATAGTCCTCAGACAAGACGAGGTTCCCTTGCACAATAGTCCTCAGACAGGACAAGGTTCCCTTGCACAATAGTCCTCAGACAGGACAGTGTCCCCCTGCACAATAGTCCTCAGACAGGACAAGGTTCACTTGCACAATAGTCCTCAGACAGGACAAGGTTCCCTTGCACAATAGTCCTCAGACAGGACAGTGTCCCCCTGCACAATAGTCCTCAGACAGGACAAGGTTCCCTTGCACAAAAGTCCTCAGACAGGACAAGGTTCCCTTGCACAATAGTCCTCAGACAGGACAAGGTTCTCTTGCACAATAGTCCTCAGACAGGACAAGGTTCCCCTGCACAATAGTCCTCAGTCAGGACAAGGTTCCCTTGCACAATAGTCCTCAGACAGGACAAGGTTCCCTTGCACAGTAGTCCTCAGACAGGACAAGGTTCCCTTGCACAATAGTCCTGAGACAGGTCAAGGTTCCCCTGCACAATAGTCCTCAGACAGGACGAGGTTCCCTTGCACAATAGTCCTCAGACAGGACAAGGTTCCCTTGCACAGTAGTCCTCAGACAGGACAAGGTTCCCTTGCACAATAGTCCTCCAGAGCTCCAGATAAGCTTTTGGTGTTTTGGGTATTTTACCTATGCATATTAAAATCACTGCGTATCAGCTATTCTATCTGGGTATTCAAATTTCTGTTACCCACTAGTTTTTACACATGTGGGTATTTAAGTTATATATTTAAAAACACTATTCATCTAGTCCCTGCAAACTAGTGTTGTGTCGGTTCGAGAGCTTTATAGGACTCAAAAATACCACGATTCTTCCACAAGAAAGTGTGATGGCAAATGATCATGATGTAACTGTCATCGTGGAGTTTGGCAAGGTTGACGGAATGCCAATTTATAATTTCAAAATAACTTGCTGATTTGCCAATCGAATACGCAGGGTTACTTCACAAAATTTTGAATATACACACAAGTTTTATTTTTGTAGCGTATCTGTAATGTTCATTGCGTATTTGATACGCTTGGATATTATTTTACTACGTATTTCTGCATTTCTGATGCGTTTTTTACGCAGATACACAGCTTATCTGGATCTCTGGTCCTCAGACAGGACAAGGTTCCCCTGCACAATAGTCCTGAAAACAGGACAAGGTTCCCTTGCACAAAAGTCCTCAGACAGGACAAGGTTCCCTTGCACAATAGTCCTCAGAGAGGATAAGATTCCCTTGCACAATAGTCCTCAGACAGGACAAGGTTCCCTTGCACAATAGTCCTCAGACAGGACAAGGTTCCCCTGCACAATAGTCCTCAGACAGGGGCGGTTTTCCCTTGCACAATAGTCCTGAGACAGGACAAGGTTCCCTTGCACAATAGTCCTCAGACAGGACGAGGTTCCCTTGCACAATAGTCCTCAGACAGGACAAGGTTCCCTTGCACAGTAGTCCTCAGACAGGACGAGGTTCCCTTGCACAATAGTCCTGAGACAGGACAAGGTTCCCTTGCACAATAGTCCTGAGACAGGACAAGGTTCCCTTGCACAATAGTCCTCAGACAGGACAAGGTTCCCTTGCACAATAGTCCTCAGACAGGACAAGGTTCCCTTGCACAATAGTCCTCAGACAGGACAAGGTTCCCTTGCACAATAGTCCTCCAGAGCTCGAGATAAGCCTTTGGTGTTGTGGGTATTTTACCTATGCATTTTAAAATCCCTGCGTATCAGCTATTCTATCTGGGTATTCAAATTTCTGTTACCCACTAGTTTTTACACATGTGGTTATTTAAGTTAAATATTTAAAAACACTATTCATCTAGTCCCTGCAAACTGGTGTTGTGTGGGTTCGAGAGCTTTATAGGACTCAAAAATAACACGATACTTCCACAAGAAAGTGTGATGGCAAATGATCATGATGTAACTGTCATCGTGGAGTTTGGCAAGGTTGACGGAATGCCCGTTTATAATTTCAAAATAACTTGCTGATTTGCCAATCGAATACGCAGGGTTACTTCACAATATTTTGAATATACACACAAGTTTTATTTTTGTAGCGTATCTGTAATGTTCCTTGCGTATTTGATACGCTTGGATATTATTTTACTACGTATTTCTGCATTTCTGATGCGTTTTTTACGCAGATACGCAGCTTATCTGGATCTCTGGTCCTCAGACAGGACAAGGTTCCCCTGCACAATAGTCCTGAAAACAGGACAAGGTTCCCTTGCACAAAAGTCCTCAGACAGGACAAGGTTCCCTTGCACAATAGTCCTCAGACAGGACAAGGTTCCCTTGCACAATAGTCCTCAGAGAGGACAAGGTTCCCTTGCACAATAGTCCTCAGACAGGACAAGGTCTCCATGCTTAATAGTCCTCAGACAGGACAAGGTTCCCCTGCACAATAGTCCTGAGAGAGGACAAGGTTCCCTTGCACAATAGTCCTCAGACAGGACAAGGTTCCCCTACACAGTAGTCCTCAGACAGGACAAGGTTCCCTTGCACAATAGTCCTCAGACAGGACAAGGTTCCCCTACATAATAGTCCTGAGACAGGACAAGGTTCCCTTGCACAATAGTCCTCAGACAGGACAAGGTCTCCATGCTTAATAGTCCTCAGACAGGACAAAGTTCCCTTGCACAATAGTCCTCAGACAGGAGAAGGTTCCCTTGCACAATAGTCCTCAGACAGGAGAAGGTTCCCCTACACAGTAGTCCTCAGACAGGACAAGGTTCCCTTGCACAATAGTCCTCAGACAGGACAAGGTTCCCTTGCACAGTAGTCCTCAGACAGGACGAGGTTCCCTTGCAAAATAGTCCTCAGACAGGACAAGGTTCCCCTACATAATAGTCCTGAGACAGGACAAGGTTCCCTTGCACAATAGTCCTCAGACAGGACAAGGTCTCCATGCTTAATAGTCCTCAGACAGGACAAGGTTCCCTTGCACAATAGTCCTCCAGAGCTCCAGATAAGCTTTTGGTGTTGTGGGTATTTTACCTATGCATTTTAAAATCCCTGCGTATCAGCTATTCTATCTGGGTATTCAAATTTCTGTTACCCACTAGTTTTTACACATGTGGGTATTTAAGTTAAATATTTAAAAACACTATTCATCTAGTCCCTGCAAACTGGTGTTGTGTGGGTTCGAGAGCTTTATAGGACTCAAAAATAACACGATACTTCCACAAGAAAGTGTGATGGCAAATGATCATGATGTAACTGTCATCGTGGAGTTTGGCAAGGTTGACGGAATGCCCGTTTATAATTTCAAAATAACTTGCTGATTTGCCAATCGAA